AGAAAGAAAGAAAGAGAAGAAAAAAAAGAGAAAAGGAAATGGTAGGGAAGAAAAGATAAAGGGAAAGAAAGTGGTCTGCTCCCGGCCCCAAATAATGAGTTTGACAAGATCCCCCCTTTCAACTAGTGCTATGCATCTTTTTTTTTTTGATAAATGAGAGTAGTTTTATTAATTTAAAAAATAGCCGTACATTCAGCCTAGGAAGAGGAACAAGGTGTTACCTCCCCCTAGGACTGGGTCATAAACACTAAACAAACACAAGCCTGAAGCACAGTTACAAAGTGGCCTGAAACAGATCTCCCCTTGACACCCCTTGCTTGGCCAGAGAATCAGCCGTTGCATTTGCTGATCTGCTGATCCACTGAAACCTGACTGACATATTCCTTGTCAGCCATTTAACTTTCTTTAACAGATCCCTGTAGCCCCAACAAGCTGTCTCTGGACTTGTCAACCAGCCCATTACTAACTTGGAATCCCCTTCTACTATCAAATTATTCACTCCAAGTTGACTGGCCATCTGTATACCTTGTACCGCTGCTAGTATCTCTGCCCTTACAGAATCACCAACACCCACTAGTGCTATGCATCTTTGTTCTTCTTAATATAAAAGTTTTTTATTAAAAATAGAGAAAAATGAGATCCCCCCTTCCTCTTCTTCCTCCCCTTCCTCCTCCTCTTTCCTCTTGACCTCGTCCTCGTAAGGAGGCTTATGCCTCCTTGTGTCTGGGAGGCTTACGCCTCTTATGTTCTGAACCACGCCTTACGCCGCCTCCGCATTTTGAAACATCGGTCCACATATGGAAGAGTTGATGACACTTGTGCTTGCAGTTCAAAAATGGAGGGCTTATTCGTTGGATTGCGAGTTTATTATTCATGCCGATAAACAAAGTCTGAAATACATATGCTCAACTTAAATGGGCTACAAGCTTATGGTGTTTGATTATGTGGTCGAATATAAATCCGTGACATCCAATAAAGCGGCTGATGCACTTTCCCTTTGTATGAACTGTCCCATATATCAGTCTCACAACGCCACTACCCGTTGCTGGACATTCTCAAGATGAAGCGCACAGGGACTCTAGTGTTAGGCTGATTCATTCTAAATAGGCACTAGATCCAACATCAGAACCTAGGTATTTGGTGGAGGGTTCAATTCTTTTTTACAAAGGATTCCTGGTCCTCTCTTGTACTTCTACACACTTACAACAACTATCTAGGAGGACATTCAGGTATCTTGCGAACATACCGTCGTATTGCTTCCCACTATTATTGGGTGGGGATGGAGTGCAACATTAAGGACTTTGTGGCATCATGTTTGGTCTGTCAACACTAAAAATATGATGCCCAATCTCCACTGGGCTCTGGCAGCCTTTGAAGAAACCAGAATTAGTATGGGAGGAAATTTCCCATGATTTCATTGTGGGCCTACTGAAATCAAAAGGCTTTCTCTATTGCTCCCGTGATTGTTGATCATTTATCTGTTCATTTTTCCCGCTGGCTCATCTATACACTGCAGCATCAGTGGCAACCATATTCACAAGAGAACTTACATTGCCTCCGTGGCACGCCCAAGGCTATTCTCTCATATCGTGATCATATGTTCTTAAGCAATTTTTGGTGCGAAAACTTCAAATTTTAGTGATCGACACTCAATACCTCTACCAGTCACCATCCTCAGAAGGATGGACGAACTGAAGTCATTAATAGATGCCTTGATGCATATTTATGATGTTTTGTTGGAGACAATCCACCCCAATGGGCCCATTGGTTTCCATGGGCTGGTTCAGGAAACTGAAGTCATTAATTCCACATTCCATGCTTCTACGAGCATGACCACCCCATTCAGAGCACTTTATGGTTGTGACCCTCCATCCAGTCTTTTTGATGAGAAAGGCTCCACCTCAGTAGCTGTTGTTGACACCCATCTCATAACAAGATAACATTCTTGAAGAGCTCAAGGCAAATTTACTAAGGGCCAAGCAACAGAAGACAAGCCAGTATGACAAAATCCATTAAGTTGAATACAAAGTGGGAGGTGAAAGCTCAGTTCTAACCGACAAAGCACATTGGCTCAGAAAGCCTAGAACAAGTTCTCCTCTAGATTTTTTGGGCCAATCGCTATCACTGAATGGGTAGGGTCAGTTGCCTATTGTTTGGATCTTCCCCAACATTGCTGACTTCATATTGTTTTCCATGTACCGAAACTCAAAGGCCATGTGGGACCTACAATTGTCATACCCCCAGTTTACCCAACTTTGATGTGGATGGCCAACCTTTACTTCAACCCCAACAACAAATGCTAGATTATAGATGGATATAGAAAAACAAGCAACCAGTTTAGGAAGCTCTAGATACTTGGCAAGGATTGCCTCCAAAAGATGCTACATGGGAAGATTGCTCACTGAAATGCCAACTATTTCCTCATTTCACCCTCGCGGATGATGGATAAGGATGCTTTGCCGGGGGGGTCTGTTAACCAAAAACAGAGCAAGCCTATCATTTAGAAGGTCTACACAAGGAAGAAATCTACATTGTACATGTATAAATAAGAATGGGAATCAGAGAGGCTTACCTTGAGTTCAATTCATGTATCCCTTCTTCTTCTTCCTCTCTCTCTCTCTCTCTCTCTCTCTTTTCAGGAGACCACACACTCTCGAAGCAATGTCTGAGTTGGGCAGGAGCCCAATAACTGCTTTAACAGTAAGGATTTTGGGGTTGATTTGGGCCTGAGGCGCAAGGCATAAGGCGAGGCGTGCTCCTTTTTGAAGCAAGGTGCAAAATTATAAAAAAATGCTAAAAAATAAAAAAAAGTCAGAAAATTCAAAAAAAAAGCCAAAAAAAGTAAAAAAATAAAAAATACTAAACATAATATTAATAAAAAAATATAAACTTAAATTCTAAAATAATGTTTTAAAAAACCTATTATTTAAAATTAAAATACATAAACATAAGATGTAATTATGTAAAGCATATTCAATTGAGAATTTAAAAATAAAATCAAACATATAAAACATTTTCAAGCATTTAAAACCTCTAATCTCTTTTTCACTCAATTGCATTACTTCACATGGCTAATGTAATTTTAAACTTATTACATTCTTGATTCTATGAGCCGCCTTTGTGTCACGCCCCTCGAGGCAAGCCTAAACAAGTCCACGTTAGCTCTTAAATTCTTAGTTTTCACACAAAAAATAATGATTTTATAGTTTTACTTGTTTTTTAAGAAGACATTTTATTAGGATGAATGAATGAACGACATTAATAAATTAGGGGTTCTTGGAGCTTTGGTGAGCGAGTGAATTTAAGGGCTAACGTGGAATTGTTTAGGTTTGCCTCGAGGGGCGTGGCACGGGGGTTTGGGGGTGGAGCCCCCGACCCAACCGCTATGTTCTATAAAGGCAAAAAAGCATCAAATTTTCAAAAGGCCTTTTGATGGTACTTGACACATGACTTAAAGTGGTCTAATATTTTTAGAGATTTTTTGCATTACCTGTATGTCTGAGATGAGATGAAACCTTGGTGCATCATTTTGATGGGCTAGATTAGATGGAATTTTGATGCACCATTTGGATGGTTGAAATTCATCAATAGATTTTAGGAGAAGCCTTTTTGGTGGTCCAGATCTTAGGTTTTACTTGACACATTACATTACATTTTTGAAATATTTTCATGCATTACATGCATTGCTGAGATTAGTTGAATTCTTCTACATTACTTGGATGGTTGAGATGAATTCAATGATCTTAAGAGGCCATTTTGATAGTTTAGATGTTGGGATGATCATGTACATTATATGGATGGGCCAAATAATACAATATCTTGGTAAACTATTTGGATGGTTGAAATGAATTGACTGATCTTCGGGTGTTATTTGGAAGGCCTAGATTTTAGATTTTATTTGGCACTTCATTTTACGTGGCTGTATTATATAGATTTTTTTAAAGAAGTTGCTTAAATGATTGGGATTGGTGGAAATCTTGGTCACTTATGTATATAGATAATGAATGGGCAGTGTTCTAATCACCCTCTCTTTGTTCGCACCATCGGGGGTGTGCAAAATTAGGCGGGGGGAGGGGGGGACTTGCATAAAAAATAGTTTAATGACTTGAGTGATATACCCCTCAAACTATTGCCTTGGGGTAGGGTGGGGTACGTGGAGTTTAATAGGAACCTGAGAAAATGCTTATGTGGATTGATGTCACATATATTGGCAAACAACATCAAAAGCAGTGTTTTAAAAGCGCAAGGCGCAAAAAAAGTGCAAGGGCCAATTTGCGACAGAGGCGCAAGGCGAGGCGTGTGCCTTTTTAAGAAAGGTGCAAAATTACAAAAAAAGAGCTAAAAAATAAAAAAAGTCAACAAATTCAAAAAAAATGCCAAAAAAAATAAAAAAATGCAAAAAATTCAAAAAACATTAAACACAATGTTAATGAAAAATATAAACTTAAATTTTAAAATAAATGTTTTAAAAAACCTATTATCTAAAATTAAAATACATAAACATAACATGTAAGGTGTATTCAAATGAAAATTTAAAAATAAAAGCAAATATATAAAGCATTTTCAAGCATGTAAAACCCACAATCTCTTTTTCTCCTTAATTTCATTGCTTCAAGTAGCTAAGGTGATTTAAAACATATTGCATTCTCTATTCTATGAGTTGCCTTTGTACCACGCCCCTCGAGGCACGCCCGAACAATTCTATGCTAGGGTCTGATATATCCATACAGAATACAAATTGTGCCCCCAACCATTAATATTTTTTTTGATAGATCCCCAATATTTAATATTTTGAACAGACTTCCTTTGTATTCCTCATAGTGTTTTATCTAAAAAATTGATGAGGCACAACTAAAATGCTTTTTGATCCCATTAATTGTGTAAGAATTGTGATATGTTCCTCAACTTGTCATTTACACTGTTTTTAAATAAAAAATTGAACTTTGTGCTTCCATTGTTTGGTTGTTGTTTTTTCTCTAAATACATTTTATGTCTTACAGTTGAATAAAGCTGTTAGTGAACCCAGAACTGCTGGAGTTATTGGCGATAGGGGATCATTCTCTAGGGAAAGTGAGTAAGAGTGCTTTATCTATTTTCCAATAGCTGTTTAGCTGCTTTAGCATCTCCTTTAATTTTTGGCTAAGAATTATTGGTATTGATGTTGAAGAAAGATTGAAAGCAGCATCTATTAAGTACACAGATTTGCTGTTCAGTATATTTTCTCAGGTGTACACAATGCTAAATGTGCTAACCCATGATACAAATCTGAGTTACCTTCTTACCTGCTTTGAGAATTTTATCTTGTGTGCAGAGTAGGCTGCTAACATGGGTTAGCAAATATATTGATAAAAAAAAAAACATGGGTTAGCAAATATTTCAATCCAAAAGACCTTGCCAGCTTTCTCTTTTTATTGTTTTAAAAAATTAAAATGTGAAGCAGTTAATATTTTTTATATAATGCCAATACTTGCCTTCCCTTCACATTTAGGTCGTAAAAAGTTAAATCAGAATGTTTTAATAGTATCGTATAATGTCAATGTTTGCAAGTGGTGGTTGATTGGTTGTCCAAATATTTTAATCTTTAAATCTAATCACTTTCATGAAAATTTTTGAAGTCTAAATATCCTTTTGGTACATGCCCTTGCAATAATTAATTATAAGTCATTGATGCATGGCAGCTTATAGGGCTGGTATCGGTTGTGGGCTTGAACTTGCTAATGCAATGGGTTCTCTATCCGGATGTTCTGGATCAGCCACAAGTTCCCTAAATTAGAAATTGGAGTGCTATAGCTGTATCCTTGCCTTCCTCCCCTGTGGTACATGGTGGAGATATTATATGGAAATATTTTAAAAGTTATATACATGGTGGAAACATTGTGAAATATGTAAAAGTATATAATCAATGGAATGATAAAAGAAACTCGGGCATACCTTTTTAAATTATTATCTTGTTCCAAACCTCTAAACAAAGCTAAGAAACTAAGCTTATGGGCAACAATACATTGTGAGGTTGTCCTATAAACCTTAAGAAACAAAACTACATGATAGAATGAGTTCAAGCAAAATTTCAACTCATAGAGAATGCAAACATTCTAATAGATGAACTAAGTAATCTATTATACATGCAAAAGGATGTAACATAATGTTACTGATAAAAAAAAGATGTAACATAATGTTTGAAACGAGTTTTGAGCTGGCTCAAAGTGGTAATCATGTCCTTTACGCAGACAATAGCATTGCTACTCTACATATCTATACAATTTGAAAAGTATATTGGGCTGGATCAAAGTGGTAATCATGTCCACTAGGCAAGCAATATCATTGCTACCCCACATATCTATACATTTTATAACAAACTTATGTTATGATACTATCTCTTGTACTCTAGATAATGCCAATAGTGTTCATTGGGGAATATGTTGATTCTAGTAAAATATCATGTGGTACCCATGGAAATGGAAATATGTCATGAAAATATAGGAAACATATGGACATTTTAAATCATGCTCTAGACTATGTTTCCCTGATTGCTGAGGTCTTTATTTTTCAGGCCATGACAATTTTACCACTGAATTGGAGCTGTAGGGACATTGTAAGAAGATGTGATTTTCTGTTTCTAATAATTCTTCAAGGCAGAGCTTACACGCAATTGAAGGGATGCCTATCCCCTACATTTTAGCCTATCCCTTTGATACATTTGCTCAGATAGCAGTCTACATTGGGAAGGCTACCTTTTGGAGTTGGTGGGACCCAACTCTCAAATTAATTTACTAGGGAAGACCCACTTCCCCAAGATTTTAAGTTTCATCAGAACAACCAAACAGATCCAAAATCTCTGATCAGAAGAATAAAAGGGATGGGGGACAGCTCTGAATCCTTAACAGCAGGGCAGCCAAGTCAGAAACCACCCATGTCGCCTGTCGTCCATTGTAAAAGCTAATATGCATTATGGTTTATCCTTTTAGGCAAATAAACTAATAACACGGAATATTATAAATCGGTTGATATGACAAATGCAACCTAAGAGTTAGAATGAAGGCCTTTCCCTCATATATGTCATGATATACAACTCTAGAGGACAAGTTATTCTCTCTTATGTGAGTTGAGTCATTCAACTCATGAATATATATAATATATATTGAAACTTTTATACAATATATTTAATATAAATAAAATAAAACATATTTTCATATGTATAATATCTATTAAATACTGTGTTTTAAAAGTGCAAGACGCAAAAAAGGCACAGGGGTCAATTTGCGCTTGAGGCGCAAGGCGAGGCGCGGGCCTTTTTGAAGTAAGGTGCAAAATTACAAAAAAGCTAAAAAATAAAAAATGTCAAAAAATAAAAAATATTAATAAAAAATATAAACTTAAATTTTAAAATAAATGTTTTAAAAAACCTATTATCTAAAATTAAAATACATAAACATAATATGCCAAAAAAAATTCAATAATAATGCAAAAAAATAAAAAAATATAAAACATAATATTAATAAAAATATCAACTAGTTTTAAAAAACCTATTATCTAAAATTAAAATACATAAGTTGGGTGGCTGCTTCCTCGTGGGGTGCTTTCGGGGGGATTGTAACAATGTGGAAGAGGGATGTGGTTGAAGGTTTGGAGGAGTTGATCGAAAAGTACTTGGTTTCCATGAAGTTTAAGCAGCAAGAGGATGATTATATGTGGGTGCTCACAAATGCATATGGACCGAATGACTACAGAGAGAGAAAGGAGTTGTGGGAGGAATTAGCTGATGTTAGAGGGTTGTGGGATGGGCCCTGGTGCATGGGTGGGGATTTCATTGTGATGAGATTCTCGGAGGAATCCAATAAGGTTAATCAGAGGGTGGCAAAAAGCATGAGGAAGTTTAACAGTTTTGTGGATGCCTTTGAGCTTAAAGAGATTCCCCTAGCCCATAAGACATTTACATGGTCAAATCTTCAATCTAGACCCATTTGCTCTAAGCTGGATAGATTCCTGTTCTCTTTGGATTGGGAAGAACATTGGGGAACCTTGG